GGGCTCGCCCTCCACGGCGCTGGCCCACATGATTTTGCAAGGTCCATCGAAGTTGCAGCTTCGGGTACTAAAAGGGGTGTGGAGCTGGATGTAGTGCTGTACAAGCATACTCCTTGTAAGCGCCTAAAGTGCACTGGCGAGGCCTCTTGGCTCCAGCCGGTATCAGGGGCAGCAGAAGACGACCAAGACTACGCTAATGTTCCGAGCCCGTATACTTACAGCGCCCGGCGCGTCGAAGGCACAGATTGGCGAGCATTTGTTTCAGTTAGTCCCATAACCACCTGTTGCACGAAATTAAGGAGCTTGGTTCTAAGCAATGTTTCCTGCAGTCACACAGGTATAATTGCAGCTTGCAATTATACCTGTGTGGTATCAGCAGTCAAAGCTCAAGATTGCTTTGACTGCTGAGAGCTACTGCCACCAGCCGTGCACTGGTGCGCCCCATGTTCCACCGCTTCATGGCGGGTGTGTTGATGATGTGATTTTTTTGTTGCTTAATGATTCCGTACTTTATAAATATAACTTCAAATGTTCCTTGTTTATCTGCGATATTAAATAAAAACTGCCTTAATAAATAACTGGAGCAGCTCCCTGATTAGAATTTTCATTTTGCTTTAAAAAAGACTTGGTGGGTTTGACCCATCGCAGTTCTTTCATGTGGCATCGCCAATGCGTCGCAAGTCACGTGCATTTGGCATCATGTGAGGCCACTGCAGCACAAGCTGTTTTTTTTTTTTTAAATTAAAACATAATACACTAGTAGCATAATTCTCTCCTTATTGCCTAGGTTGCCCAAACCACCAATACAACGATTTTAAGGATTCCTTTTATCTGAAGAAGCTGAAATGAAAAGTCATGAAATGCAAAAAAAAAAAAAAAAATTCTCCTTCATCGTCTTTTGCCCAGTACAATCTGACGTCTCTAGCTAATTGCTTCAGTGAGCTTAACGACGTCACAATGCACAAAATAAAGGCAAATGCATGGCAACTCCATGGGTAGTGGATTATTCTGTCCGTCCTCCTTTTCTGTAATATTGTTCTGCCGTGTGTGCATTCAATTTCGTCATCCTCTGCCTGCATTCCTCCAGGGCAGTTTCTTGGCCACGAATACATATTATACCTTTTTGGATCATATTAATTGGAAGGATATGAACCTCAGCTTTCCCACTGGCACACAGGCATTGCCAGAGCCTGTTCTACTCAAAAGATAACGAAAGTCCCTCCCTCTCTCCGCTCCCCCTCCTAAAGTCTTCCATTTTGCTGGGGCCTCTTCTCCCCCATCCCCCTCATACATCATTTTGTCATGGGCGCCGCCGAATAAAAATTTTGGCTATGTGCCTGGCTTGCACCCATTCTTTTGTTAGTTCATTACTGTAGGATTCAACTGTAAGCACAGTGTTAACGCAGAGTAAAAAATAGCAGCATACTCTTGTTGGCTAGTGCTGATGATTGAACCAGTTGCTAGACAATTATTAAAAAGGAATTGTGAATATGGGAACAGCGCATACAGACACGACACAGCACTGTGTTCATCTCCTCCTCCTTGTCTGTGCGATTCCCATTCTTGTTTTTAATAATAATTCATTTTTAAGGATTTTCTGTTTGGTATCATCTGTATGGGGGTTCACTGTAACGACCCACCTGCCATTGCATTCCCTTTAGGGGCAGCTCCCCCTTCCTTATGATGCCATCGTTGAGGAAGTGCAGGGTGGGCGTCACTCTCAATCTTGTGGTGCAGTTCCCCAGGTTCCAATAGGTTGCAAGCTGCCGGCCAAACTGAGTCAGGCCTGCCAGCCCTGCGGGAAATGGCAATTTTCACTCTTTTAGGCGTTGACACCCACGTTTTCCGTGTACCTGAAAAAAGCTCGAATAGAGAGGAAACGCAATAATTGGTCTTTTTATAATGCATCTTTTTCTTTTGCTGGGAACATACATAAAAGTCACAAGCTATTGTACATCCAGTGGTGCGGCTTAATTTATGATGAGCATTTTTTTTATATAACTTCGAGCATTTAGAGAAAATATACAATAAAACGCGTCGGACATAACTTGTTTTTTGTGAACTATCCTATACATTTACACGTTACCTGATATCATGAAAGCAACAGAGCAGGGAAGGCTGTACTGAATAAATTACACATTTATAACCAATTAAAAGTTGGCATTTATATAATTTATTACTATTCGCTATTATTTTTGACAGAAAGAATAACTGGGCGAGTCGGTACGTTGGTAGTCTTTCAACACCATTCAATATTCAGGATCTTTTCGCATTTTTTCATACTTTACTTTTTCTAGCTGCCCTGTTTTTTTGTCGCGGTTTTCGCTGCCAATAAAGAATGTGATATTCAAACTTACTTTATTTACATCACACAATCGGAAACTTCGAAAGCGTGCCGCTTCGGATGCGCGAAGAGACCGCGCGTCTCTGCGGCACAGGCGTAAGCATAGGCAAGAAATCAGGCTGCTCGCCCTCGGAACGTTTTTTCTCGCTCCCGCTTTACGAAACGAATCGTTGAGACCACATGGCAGAACTAGCATGACCTGTGATTGCTTGAACTGCCATCAGACTGCACTTGAACGCTCCGCAAAAGCGTCGTCGGACGAACGTCGTAGAGCGGCGCCCAGAACAGTCCCCAGTCTCTCGGCTCCGCCGCACACGAATCTCTCTCACCCTGCGGAGCGAGCCATAGGTTTTGAACAACGTACACTCTTTTCAAATAACGAAATAACACCGGCCAGAAGCATTCTTAGAATCAAGCATAGCTTAGCAAGCACGTGGTACACGACAAAATTTGAAACAGAGACGTACTTTGCAGAAACAAAATAGTTCACCGGCGCTTGCAGCAGTGCTGATGGACTGTCCGCAACTTGCTTTGGTAAGACGCAGCGTCTCCCAGCTCTCCGTCATATCGCTTGCTATTCTTGAACATGGTATTCCTGAGGAAGATATCTAGAATATCTGCTAAAACGGCTAAAACGTAAAAAGGAAGCGATTCTCGTAGCCATGGCGTAACCACAACGGCCAGTGCCAACGGCCAAGGACGTTTAAACAGACAGGACCCGGCATGACGTCAGCCTGAGTGAAGCCGGAAGAGGCGTTTAATCCCAGACTGCCTTGCGCACCCGTTCCGAGGCCGTGGGCACAGTTTATTTCACTGTGGCCGTGGGGTAGCGCACCGGCGGTTCGTCTGCTTTCTAATCCGCTCTGGCGTGTGCTTCACGAGGCTAGCTTTCGACGCGGTCGGCGTCCGCCGTGGGCGTCCACGATGCAAATGCTTTGCAGCGTGAGTGTTTATACTTAGTTCCACATTATGTGCGAGCGAAGTCAGAACTGGAAGCGCGAGCCCGTTGTTCTGTGCGCTCCTGGCTTGCATACGCGCTCGTGCGATCTGCTGCTGCTGTTTATTAAAAAATGCGTTGCGCACAGCCAAGTCCTTCACGGTGCGTCGTCTAGAGCGTCTCAATTCTAGTCACTTACTTTCTGCTGGGCAACCAGGTGTTCGTTTATAATAATCTCATCCAATTCTGACCATACCGGTTTAAAAGTCTCCCGTTAAGCGCTGTTTCAAATAACAGTGGGTGCCGCCATTACTTTCAGTGCACAAAATCGCATTGCCACGGAAATGTCATGGCAACGCGGTTGTTTGCACCGAAATTAATGGCGGCGTCCACTCAGTAGGCTTCCCATTGGTCAAGAAATGCTCGTTGCGGCTCGTGGCCACGCCTACTTCCGTTACACTTCGCTCCATGCATTGGGGATAGGGACGCCAGGGGAGTGCAGCTGTACCTTCCACCGTGGTAAAGCGAAACTAGAGACACAGCTCTTTGCGGCAAAATGGCGAAAGGAGGTCTGGGGCTAGACAAATTCGCACACCACTCTCATGAGATGGCGCCACCTTAGTAACACCCTCGCGTACCCTCCTCCTTCTCTCTCTCTGGCTTCTCTCCAAATTTTTTTATTTTTTTATTTGCACGTGCGGCCGACGTTGGATATTTTCGGTTTTCGGTACTGCGCGGAACAGCGCGGCGGCACCGAAAACGCCTCGGCGCAGACTACGCTGCGCCGGGGCGATCGAGTGTAGTCTGCACATGCACTCTTTGAACACAAACATTTAGAACGATCTCACCGAGGCAAAGAAAGATATCCAGGTGATGGGATTGTATGCATTTTTATTTGATACTCTTGGGTTAGACTACACTCTCAAAATAAACTCTTTACATAATGTTATGTACATAAATGTATGCAACATCCCAAGTGAGCGAACATTAAACGTAGGAAGTGGTCAGAAACAGAAAGACGTGAAAATATGAAAACTGTAAGTAACACAGAATGTATGAGTATTATCCCACAAGTTTTCCACTCAGATCTGCTCATTTCTTTAATTATTGGAAACGTTCCACAATAAAAGCACAAAAGTGATGAACACACAAAAAGAAATTAGTTCTAGAATGGCATAATATACATATATATACATATCAATATGTCCAAACTTCAGGTAACTATGCGAGCATGCGCACGCATTATGAACAACAGCATAAGTCGATAAATGGAACTTTCAACCTGCATTAACTCTACACGTGTTCTGAATAGCAGGAATGCGGTAACAATTCAAAATACTGACTGCGCAACTAGCGAAGTTCATGGAAGTAGCTCATACCTAGAGGGTTATTCAAAAGTCTATATGATCACTATTCTAGGAACGTATAAGTGTGTAGACTGCGCATAAGTAACATATTTACAAGGGTTTACAAGCTATATACAAAGATTTCACGAATTGAAACACGACATCGAGTCTCCAGACCGCATATCAGATTACGAAGTGCATTGACTTCATTTAGGCTTGTGCACACCTCCTCGATATTGAACCTCTCAAATGCGGTGCCTCATACTTTTTTATTTGTTAATGCCTGTCAGTTGGCTCCGCCTCAACAATGAAATTTCACGAGGGCTATTATAGATTGATCAATTCAGCAATGACAAAAAAAGTTTCTTAGGTTTTATCGCAAAGAAAAGCTGAATTGTTCATATAAATGTTTAGACCGCGTAATGTCAATCTGTTGTGAAATGAGATGACTATTTTTGATCTAGAAAGGAAGTTTGTCAACACATTACGACAGCGAACCTCCGGTCTGTATCATGTATCTCACGCAAACACATTCCCTACCTGCAGTACAGTGTGGCGAAATCATAATAAACTGTATTATTGACGCGGTTAAGGTGCCAACTGTTTTCTCTTTCTTTGCGCAGGTGTTTTGAGAACACGCTTTGTTAGGAGTTCCCTGTTCAACAGGCGAATATGCCAACGTAGCCGCACATTAACGTAAAGATTGAGGAACTGCTTCGCGCATTCCTTGGTGCAAAATTGTTCTTCGGAATGAGGAACCAGAGAATGTACCATGCGTTCAGCAACCTTCGGCAAGTGAATGTGCTCGTTTATCTTCTGGAGGAACGTTTGTTCAAGAATTCTGAAACACTGAAAGAATGCTTCTGATGGAGGACAGAAAGAGCCGAAAATCGACCCAGGAGCGCTGGCTTAGAGAAGAGCATGAAACTGCACCTCAAAGGTGAGCACGCCACTTGCAGCACTCAACAAGTCCGGGCAAAGATGGCACAAACTTTTTTTAAGAAACGACTCCGCCAGAAACCCGGCGAAGTGGTATTCAACATTTTCTTGGATGAGGTCGTCATATGACTCATCGGGAAGTTCAAGCTCATCGGTCTCAATTGCTGGCAGTGGTTCGGGCTGGTGGCTGGCTGCAGTCGACACCGGAAGGTGTCGACTGCAGCCAGCCTCACAGTTTCCTCTACTGGAAAGCTGAAACATCTTTCCAAGAAAAATGTATTTCAGGCCTGCCACAAACTGGTAGGAATTGGGTGTCTCGTTACACCCATGCTGCTGCCGCACCATCCCGAACAAGTTTTCCAGTGGGTCCTGGTTGAACCGTCTTGTTAGTAGGTGATCAAAGTCAAAGTTCAGGCTGAGGTCTTCCCACAGTAAGAGGACGGCATTGATGGTAATTTGCCATCCCCTTACTGTGTGGGGCCGTCGTGGTGACAGGAACTGCCACTTCGAAATCCATGAGCTTTTCTCTCTTAAGAAATTAATATGTCCCGACGAAGAGCTTAGTGCGAATCTCATTTTTTGTTCACCGCATTCCAGAGATGAGCTATTCAGTGAATCAAAAATTTGGTCCATGTGCTCAAGGAAATCGCAAGTGGCCTGAGCCTCAGGGGGCAGCTCATTCAGAGAAAGGAGGGTTGCAAGGGAAACAGAAAGAGTGTCACTAAAAACCTGCGCAGCAAATTGTACTTTCATATTTCCGAATGGAGTCTGATAAATGTGCCTGTCGGTCAGTTTTTTTGCCAATCGTAATCGAAGAGGGTGCTTGTTTTTGTAGAAGTCCACAATGTATTTCCATCTGATCAATTTGCTGCCAATTTGGAGGTCATGCTTGCGCAGGTTGTTACGTGTACACTTGAGCAGATGAGGGGTGTCAAAGAGAAAGTAGACCTGGGTGTCACCGACAAGGAAGAAGGGATGATCTGGTGTGACACCCAGCCGGCGTGCAAGAGTGCAGTTGCTGGCCCCTGGTCGCACACGACAGCTTTCACAAAGACCCCGCCGGAACTCAGACTTTGAATAACCTCTGTCAACATATCCTGGAGACATTCTGGGGATGCTTTTGATTTTGAAAAAATGAAAGCCAATGGTTGCACCCAGGGCTTAGAAATACCCGCCAACATCATAACGAAGCCTGAATTTGCCATATCACGGGTTCTTTCCTTGCAGCTGTCTGCAAAGCCATACACCATATCCGACTTTGTGTCATAGAAGAGATTTTCTTTTAGAACTATTTCGTCGAACATTAGAATACATGCGCGATCTTTAAGTGGCCAATCGTGAATTTTGTCGACAACAGTCTTGATGATGTTGGGTGCAACCCCAGGGTGTATGGCAATGTGGGACAACCAGTTCTTGAGAGATCGAACCGATGGCAAGCTCAGGTACTTGGCTAGGTACTTGTAAGCCCTGGGGCTCTAAAAGTAAAGGTTAAGGGCAAATGGTTTAAATACGTCAGGCCATCTTCGTCCGAACTTGTTCATTGGCTGCAAGTACAGCTGCACCATTAAAAGGTCCAGTGCCCCTTTGGAGAAAAATTTTGATGCGCCCTGGATGACTTGAGGTCGTGTCAAATTCGAAAAATCAAGCTTTTGTGACGCCTTGAAGAGGTTCCTGCGCAATCGGTTTTGGGATTTTCTTAGGTTATCTAAGGTATGTTTCGTGCGGGGTGAATACACTTTCTTCGGCCGGCAACCTTGTCTCTTTGGGGTTGTTATCGTCCCAGCCGTGGACCTCGATGAGGCTGCAGCTCCCATTGGTGTCTCTAGAGTGATATCTGTTCGAGAGAGGAAATTACTCAGAAATTGAACTAACATTAAGCTTCAACTCAAGATGAACATAATGCCACCGATTTCAGAAGTTGCCTTATAAAGCCAGTAAACGAACGCTGCGCGTTCTATATTGCTTTCATGTCTAGAAATACCCGTCAAGTACAAGCTCAGTTCCTCACCAAGGTGGGGCTCCACCTGCGCCTCCTCTTGCAAGGAGCCGGCAGTCGGCGGCGGTGAGGACAGGCGAGCTCAAAAAATGGGATGAATGCAACTTGTGAGTTCACTAAACGGAATATGACGCTACCAATATGAAGAGTTGGCTAACAGAGCCAGTAAACGGACGCCGCGCGTTCTATATTGCTTTCATGTCTAGAAAAACCCGTCAAGTATAAGCTTAGTTCCTCACCAAGGTGGGGCTCCACCTGCGCCTCCTCCTGCAAGGAGCCGGCAGTCGGCGGCGGTGAGGACAGGCGAGCTGAAAAAATGGGATAAATGCATCTTGTGAGTTCACTAAACGGAATATGACGCTACCAATATGAAGAGTTGGCTAATAGAGCCAGTAAACGGACGCCGCGCGTTCTATATTGCTTTCATGTCTAGAAAAACCCGTCAAGTATAAGCTTAGTTCCTCACCAAGGTGGGGCTCCACCTGCGCCTCCTCCTGCAAGGAGCCGGCAGTCGGCGGCGGTGAGGACAGGCGAGCTCAAAAAATGGGATGAATGCAACTTGTGAGTTCACTAAACGGAATATGACGCTACCAATATGAAGAGTTGGCTAACAGAGCCAGTAAACGGACGCCGCGCGTTCTATAATGCTTTCATGTCTAGAAAAACCCGTCAAGTATAAGCTTAGTTCCTCACCAAGGTGGGGCTCCACTTGCGCCTCCTCCGACAAAGAGGCGGCAGTTGGCGGCGGTGAGGACGGGCGAGCTGAAAAAATGGGATAAATGCATCTTGTGAGTTCACTAAACGGAATATGACGCTACTAATATGAAGAGTTGGCTAACAGAGCCAGTAAACGGACGCCGCGCGTTCTATATTGCTTTCATGTCTAGAAAAACCCGTCAAGTATAAGCTTAGTTCCTCACCAAGGTGGGGCTCCACCTGCGCCTCCTCCTGCAAGGAGCCGGCAGTCGGCGGCGGTGAGGACAGGCGAGCTCAAAAAATGGGATGAATGCATCTTGTGAGTTCACTAAACGGAATATGACGCTACCAATATGAAGAGTTGGCTAACAGAGCCAGTAAACGGACGCCGCGCGTTCTATATTGCTTTCATGTCTAGAAAAACCCGTCAAGTATAAGCTTAGTTCCTCACCAAGGTGGGGCTCCACCTGCGCCTCCTCCTGCAAGGAGCCGGCAGTCGGCGGCGGTGAGGACAGGCGAGCTCAAAAAATGGGATGAATGCAACTTGTGAGTTCACTAAACGGAATATGACGCTACCAATATGAAGAGTTGGCTAACAGAGCCAGTAAACGGACGCCGCGCGTTCTATATTGCTTTCATGTCTAGAAAAACCCGTCAAGTATAAGCTTAGTTCCTCACCAAGGTGGGGCTCCACCTGCGCCTCCTCCTGCAAGGAGCCGGCAGTCGGCGGCGGTGAGGACAGGCGAGCTGAAAAAATGGGATAAATGCATCTTGTGAGTTCACTAAACGGAATATGACGCTACCAATATGAAGAGTTGGCTAATAGAGCCAGTAAACGGACGCCGCGCGTTCTATATTGCTTTCATGTCTAGAAAAACCCGTCAAGTATAAGCTTAGTTCCTCACCAAGGTGGGGCTCCACCTGCGCCTCCTCCTGCAAGGAGCCGGCAGTCGGCGGCGGTGAGGACAGGCGAGCTCAAAAAATGGGATGAATGCAACTTGTGAGTTCACTAAACGGAATATGACGCTACCAATATGAAGAGTTGGCTAACAGAGCCAGTAAACGGACGCCGCGCGTTCTATATTGCTTTCATGTCTAGAAAAACCCGTCAAGTATAAGCTTAGTTCCTCACTAAGGTGGGGCTCCACCTGCGCCTCCTCCTGCAAGGAGCCGGCAGTCGGCGGCGGTGAGGACAGGCGAGCTCAAAAAATGGGATGAATGCAACTTGTGAGTTCACTAAACGGAATATGACGCTACCAATATGAAGAGTTGGCTAACAGAGCCAGTAAACGGACGCCGCGCGTTCTATATTGCTTTCATGTCTAGAAAAACCCGTCAAGTATAAGCTTAGTTCCTCACCAAGGTGGGGCTCCACCTGCGCCTCCTCCTGCAAGGAGCCGGCAGTCGGCGGCGGTGAGGACAGGCGAGCTCAAAAAATGGGATGAATGCAACTTGTGAGTTCACTAAACGGAATATGACGCTACCAATATGAAGAGTTGGCTAACAGAGCCAGTAAACGGACGCCGCGCGTTCTATATTGCTTTCATGTCTAGAAAAACCCGTCAAGTATAAGCTTAGTTCCTCACCAAGGTGGGGCTCCACCTGCGCCTCCTCCTGCAAGGAGCCGGCAGTCGGCGGCGGTGAGGACAGGCGAGCTCAAAAAATGGGATGAATGCAACTTGTGAGTTCACTAAACGGAATATGACGCTACCAATATGAAGAGTTGGCTAACAGAGCCAGTAAACGGACGCCGCGCGTTCTATATTGCTTTCATGTCTAGAAAAACCCGTCAAGTATAAGCTTAGTTCCTCACCAAGGTGGGGCTCCACCTGCGCCTCCTCCTGCAAGGAGCCGGCAGTCGGCGGCGGTGAGGACAGGCGAGCTCAAAAAATGGGATGAATGCAACTTGTGAGTTCACTAAACGGAATATGACGCTACCAATATGAAGAGTTGGCTAACAGAGCCAGTAAACGGACGCCGCGCGTTCTATATTGCTTTCATGTCTAGAAAAACCCGTCAAGTATAAGCTTAGTTCCTCACCAAGGTGGGGCTCCACCTGCGCCTCCTCCTGCAAGGAGCCGGCAGTCGGCGGGGGTGAGGACAGGCGAGCTCAAAAAATGGGATGAATGCAACTTGTGAGTTCACTAAACGGAATATGACGCTACCAATATGAAGAGTTGGCTAACAGAGCCAGCAAACGGACGCCGCGCGTTCTATATTGCTTTCATGTCTAGAAAAACCCGTCAAGTATAAGCTTAGTTCCTCACCAAGGTGGGGCTCCACCTGCGCCTCCTCCTGCAAGGAGCCGGCAGTCGGCGGCGGTGAGGACAGGCGAGCTCAAAAAATGGGATGAATGCAACTTGTGAGTTCACTAAACGGAATATGACGCTACCAATATGAAGAGTTGGCTAACAGAGCCAGTAAACGGACGCCGCGCGTTCTATATTGCTTTCATGTCTAGAAAAACCCGTCAAGTATAAGCTTAGTTCCTCACCAAGGTGGGGCTCCACCTGCGCCTCCTCCTGCAAGGAGCCGGCAGTCGGCGGCGGTGAGGACAGGCGAGCTCAAAAAATGGGATGAATGCAACTTGTGAGTTCACTAAACGGAATATGACGCTACCAATATGAAGAGTTGGCTAACAGAGCCAGTAAACGGACGCCGCGCGTTCTATATTGCTTTCATGTCTAGAAAAACCCGTCAAGTATAAGCTTAGTTCCTCACCAAGGTGGGGCTCCACCTGCGCCTCCTCCTGCAAGGAGCCGGCAGTCGGCGGCGGTGAGGACAGGCGAGCTCAAAAAATGGGATGAATGCATCTTGTGAGTTCACTAAACGGAATATGACGCTACCAATATGAAGAGTTGGCTAACAGAGCCAGTAAACGGACGCCGCGCGTTCTATATTGCTTTCATGTCTAGAAAAACCCGTCAAGTATAAGCTTAGTTCCTCACCAAGGTGGGGCTCCACCTGCGCCTCCTCCTGCAAGGAGCCGGCAGTCGGCGGCGGTGAGGACAGGCGAGCTCAAAAAATGGGATGAATGCAACTTGTGAGTTCACTAAACGGAATATGACGCTACCAATATGAAGAGTTGGCTAACAGAGCCAGTAAACGGACGCCGCGCGTTCTATATTGCTTTCATGTCTAGAAAAACCCGTCAAGTATAAGCTTAGTTCCTCACCAAGGTGGGGCTCCACCTGCGCCTCCTCCTGCAAGGAGCCGGCAGTCGGCGACGGTGAGGACAGGCGAGCTCAAAAAATGGGATGAATGCAACTTGTGAGTTCACTAAACGGAATATGACGCTACCAATATGAAGAGTTGGCTAACAGAGCCAGTAAACGGACGCCGCGCGTTCTATATTGCTTTCATGTCTAGAAAAACCCGTCAAGTATAAGCTTAGTTCCTCACCAAGGTGGGGCTCCACCTGCGCCTCCTCCTGCAAGGAGCCGGCAGTCGGCGGCGGTGAGGACAGGCGAGCTCAAAAAATGGGATGAATGCAACTTGTGAGTTCACTAAACAGAATATGACGCTACCAATATGAAGAGTTGGCTAACAGAGCCAGTAAACGGACGCCGCGCGTTCTATATTGCTTTCATGTCTAGAAAAACCCGTCAAGTATAAGCTTAGTTCCTCACCAAGGTGGGGCTCCACCTGCGCCTCCTCCTGCAAGGAGCCGGCAGTCGGCGGCGGTGAGGACAGGCGAGCTCAAAAAATGGGATGAATGCAACTTGTGAGTTCACTAAACGGAATATGACGCTACCAATATGAAGAGTTGGCTAACAGAGCCAGTAAACGGACGCCGCGCGTTCTATATTGCTTTCATGTCTAGAAAAACCCGTCAAGTATAAGCTTAGTTCCTCACCAAGGTGGGGCTCCACCTGCGCCTCCTCCTGCAAGGAGCCGGCAGTCGGCGGCGGTGAGGACAGGCGAGCTCAAAAAATGGGATGAATGCAACTTGTGAGTTCACTAAACGGAATATGACGCTACCAATATGAAGAGTTGGCTAACAGAGCCAGTAAACGGACGCCGCGCGTTCTATATTGCTTTCATGTCTAGAAAAACCCGTCAAGTATAAGCTTAGTTCCTCACCAAGGTGGGGCTCCACCTGCGCCTCCTCCTGCAAGGAGCCGGCAGTCGGCGGCGGTGAGGACAGGCGAGCTCAAAAAATGGGATGAATGCATCTTGTGAGTTCACTAAACGAAATATGACGCTACCAATATGAAGAGTTGGCTAACAGAGCCAGTAAACGGACGCCGCGCGTTCTATATTGCTTTCATGTCTAGAAAAACCCGTCAAGTATAAGCTTAGTTCTTCACCAAGGTGGGGCTCCACCTGCGCCTCCTCCTGCAAGGAGCCGGCAGTCGGCGGCGGTGAGGACAGGCGAGCTCAAAAAATGGGATGAATGCAACTTGTGAGTTCACTAAACGGAATATGACGCTACCAATATGAAGAGTTGGCTAACAGAGCCAGTAAACGGACGCCGCGCGTTCTATATTGCTTTCATGTCTAGAAAAACCCGTCAAGTATAAGCTTAGTTCCTCACCAAGGTGGGGCTCCACCTGCGCCTCCTCCTGCAAGGAGCCGGCAGTCGGCGGCGGTGAGGACAGGCGAGCTCAAAAAATGGGATGAATGCAACTTGTGAGTTCACTAAACGGAATATGACGCTACCAATATGAAGAGTTGGCTAACAGAGCCAGTAAACGGACGCCGCGCGTTCTATATTGCTTTCATGTCTAGAAAAACCCGTCAAGTATAAGCTTAGTTCCTCACCAAGGTGGGGCTCCACCTGCGCCTCCTCCTGCAAGGAGCCGGCAGTCGGCGGCGGTGAGGACAGGCGAGCTCAAAAAATGGGATTAATGCAACTTGTGAGTTCACTAAACGGAATATGACGCTACCAATATGAAGAGTTGGCTAACAGAGCCAGTAAACGGACGCCGCGCGTTCTATATTGCTTTCATGTCTAGAAAAACCCGTCAAGTATAAGCTTAGTTCCTCACCAAGGTGGGGCTCCACCTGCGCCTCCTCCTGCAAGGAGCCGGCAGTCGGCGGCGGTGAGGACAGGCGAGCTCAAAAAATGGGATGAATGCAACTTGTGAGTTCACTAAACGGAATATGACGCTACCAATATGAAGAGTTGGCTAACAGAGCCAGTAAACGGACGCCGCGCGTTCTATATTGCTTTCATGTCTAGAAAAACCCGTCAAGTATAAGCTTAGTTCCTCACCAAGGTGGGGCTCCACCTGCGCCTCCTCCTGCAAGGAGCCGGCAGTCGGCGGCGGTGAGGACAGGCGAGCTCAAAAAATGGGATGAATGCAACTTGTGAGTTCACTAAACGGAATATGACGCTACCAATATGAAGAGTTGGCTAACAGAGCCAGTAAACGGACGCCGCGCGTTCTATATTGCTTTCATGTCTAGAAAAACCCGTCAAGTATAAGCTTAGTTCCTCACCAAGGTGGGGCTCCACCTGCGCCTCCTCCTGCAAGGAGCCGGCAGTCGGCGGCGGTGAGGACAGGCGAGCTCAAAAAATGGGATGAATGCAACTTGTGAGTTCACTAAACGGAATATGACGCTACCAATATGAAGAGTTGGCTAACAGAGCCAGTAAACGGACGCCGCGCGTTCTATATTGCTTTCATGACTAGAAAAACCCGTCAAGTATAAGCTTAGTTCCTCACCAAGGTGGGGCTCCACCTGCGCCTCCTCCTGCAAGGAGCCGGCAGTCGGCGGCGGTGAGGACAGGCGAGCTCAAAAAATGGGATGAATGCATCTTGTGAGTTCACTAAACGGAATATGACGCTACCAATATGAAGAGTTGGCTAACAGAGCCAGTAAACGGACGCCGCGCGTTCTATATTGCTTTCATGTCTAGAAAAACCCGTCAAGTATAAGCTTAGTTCCTCACCAAGGTGGGGCTCCACCTGCGCCTCCTCCTGCAAGGAGCCGGCAGTCGGCGGCGGTGAGGACAGGCGAGCTCAAAAAATGGGATGAATGCAACTTGTGAGTTCACTAAACGGAATATGACGCTACCAATATGAAGAGTTGGCTAACAGAGCCAGTAAACGGACGCCGCGCGTTCTATATTGCTTTCATGTCTAGAAAAACCCGTCAAGTATAAGCTTAGTCCCTCACCAAGGTGGGGCTCCACCTGCGCCTCCTCCTGCAAGGAGCCGGCAGTCGGCGGCGGTGAGGACAGGCCAGCTCAAAAAATGGGATGAATGCAACTTGTGAGTTCACTAAACGGAATATGACGCTACCAATATGAAGAGTTGGCTAACAGAGCCAGTAAACGGACGCCGCGCGTTCTATATTGCTTTCATGTCTAGAAAAACCCGTCAAGTATAAGCTTAGTTCCTCACCAAGGTGGGGCTCCACCTGCGCCTCCTCCTGCAAGGAGCCGGCAGTCGGCGGCGGTGAGGACAGGCGAGCTCAAAAAATGGGATGAATGCAACTTGTGAGTTCACTAAACGGAATATGACGCTACCAATATGAAGAGTTGGCTAACAGAGCCAGTAAACGGACGCCGCGCGTTCTATATTGCTTTCATGTCTAGAAAAACCCGTCAAGTATAAGCTTAGTTCCTCACCAAGGTGGGGCTCCACCTGCGCCTCCTCCTGCAAGGAGCCGGCAGTCGGCGGCGGTGAGGACAGGCGAGCTAAAAAAATGGGATGAATGCATCTTGTGAGTTCACTAAACGGAATATGACGCTACCAATATGAAGAGTTGGCTAACAGAGCCAGTAAACGGACGCCGCGCGTTCTATATTGCTTTCATGTCTAGAAAAACCCGTCAAGTATAAGCTTAGTTCCTCACCAAGGTGGGGCTCCACCTGCGCCTCCTCCTGCAAGGAGCCGGCAGTCGGCGGCGGTGAGGACAGGCGAGCTCAAAAAATGGGATGAATGCAACTTGTGAGTTCACTAAACGGAATATGACGATACCAATATGAAGAGTTGGCTAACAGAGCCAGTAAACGGACGCCGCGCGTTCTATATTGCTTTCATGTCTAGAAAAACCCGTCAAGTATAAGCTTAGTTCCTCACCAAGGTGGGGCTCCACCTGCGCCTCCTCCTGCAAGGAGCCGGCAGTCGGCGGCGGTGAGGACAGGCGAGCTCAAAAAATGGGATGAATGCAACTTGTGAGTTCACTAAACGGAATATGACGCTACCAATATGAAGAGTTGGCTAACAGAGCCAGTAAACGGACGCCGCGCGTTCTATATTGCTTTCATGTCTAGAAAAACCCGTCAAGTATAAGCTTAGTTCCTCACCAAGGTGGGGCTCCACCTGCGCCTCCTCCTGCAAGGAGCCGGCAGTCGGCGGCGGTGAGGACAGGCAAGCTCAAAAAATGGGATGAATGCAACTTGTGAGTTCACTAAACGGAATATGACGCTACCAATATGAAGAGTTGGCTAACAGAGCCAGTAAACGGACGCCGCGCGTTCTATATTGCTTTCATGTCTAGAAAAACCCGTCAAGTATAAGCTTAGTTCCTCACCAAGGTGGGGCTCCACCTGCGCCTCCTCCTGCAAGGAGCCGGCAGTCGGCGGCGGTGAGGACAGGCGAGCTCAAAAAATGGGATGAATGCAACTTGTGAGTTCACTAAACGGAATATGACGCTACCAATATGAAGAGTTGGCTAACAGAGCCAGTAAACGGACGCCGCGCGTTCTATATTGCTTTCATGTCTAGAAAAACCCGTCAAGTATAAGCTTAGTTCCTCACCAAGGTGGGGCTCCACCTGCGCCTCCTCCTGCAAGGAGCCGGCAGTCGGCGGCGGTGAGGACAGGCGAGCTCAAAAAATGGGATTAATGCAACTTGTGAGTTCACTAAACGGAATATGACGCTACCAATATGAAGAGTTGGCTAACAGAGCCTTTAAACGGACGCCGCGCGTTCTATATTGCTTTCATGTCTAGAAAAACCCGTCAAGTATAAGCTTAGTTCCTCACCAAGGTGGGGCTCCACCTGCGCCTCCTCCTGCAAGGAGCCGGCAGTCGGCGGCGGTGAGGACAGGCAAGCTCAAAAAATGGGATGAATGCAACTTGTGAGTTCACTAAACGGAATATGACGCTACCAATATGAAGAGTTGGCTAACAGAGCCAGTAAACGGACGCCGCGCGTTCTATATTGCTTTCATGTCTAGAAAAACCCGTCAAGTATAAGCTTAGTTCCTCACCAAGGTGGGGCTCCACCTGCGCCTCCTCCTGCAAGGAGCCGGCAGTCGGCGGCGGTGAGGACAGGCGAGCTCAAAAAATGGGATGAATGCAACTTGTGAGTTCACTAAACGGAATATGACGCTACCAATATGAAGAGTTGGCTAACAGAGCCAGTAAACGGACGCCGCGCGTTCTATATTGCTTTCATGTCTAGAAAAACCCGTCAAGTATAAGCTTAGTTCCTCACCAAGGTGGGGCTCCACCTGCGCCTCCTCCTGCAAGGAGCCGGCAGTCGGCGGCGGTGAGGACAGGCGAGCTCAAAAAATGGGATGAATGCAACTTGTGAGTTCACTAAACGGAATATGACGCTACCAATATGAAGAGTTGGCTAACAGAGCCAGTAAACGGACGCCGCGCGTTCTATATTGCTTTCATGTCTAGAAAAACCCGTCAAGTATAAGCTTAGTTCCTCACCAAGGTGGGGCTCCACCTGCGCCTCCTCCTGCAAGGAGCCGGCAGTCGGCGGCGGTGAGGACAGGCGAGCTCAAAAAATGGGATGAATGCAACTTGTGAGTTCACTAAACGGAATATGACGCTACCAATATGAAGAGTTGGCTAACAGAGCCAGTAAACGGACGCCGCGCGTTCTATATTGCTTTCATGTCTAGAAAAACCCGTCAAGTATAAGCTTAGTTCCTCACCAAGGTGGGGCTCCACCTGCGCCTCCTCCTGCAAGGAGCCGGCAGACGGCGGCGGTGAGGACAGGCGAGCTCAAAAAATGGGATGAATGCAACTTGTGAGTTCACTAAACGGAATATGACGCTACCAATATGAAGAGTTGGCTAACAGAGCCAGTAAACGGACGCCGCGCGTTCTATATTGCTTTCATGTCTAGAAAAACCCGTCAAGTATAAGCTTAGTTCCTCACCAAGGTGGGGCTCCACCTGCGCCTCCTCCTGCAAGGAGCCGGCAGTCGGCGGCGGTGAGGACAGGCGAGCTCAAAAAATGGGATGAATGCAACTTGTGAGTTCACTAAACGGAATATGACGCTACCAATATGAAGAGTTGGCTAACAGAGCCAGTAAACGGACGCCGCGCGTTCTATATTGCTTTCATGTCTAGAAAAACCCGTCAAGTATAAGCTTAGTTCCTTACCAAGGTGGGGCTCCACCTGCGCCTCCTCCTGCAAGGAGCCGGCAGTCGGCGGCGGTGAGGACAGGCGAGCTCAAAAAATGGGATGAATTCAACTTGTGAGTTCACTAAACGGAATATGACGCTACCAATATGAAGAGTTGGCTAACAGAGCCAGTAAACGGACGCCGCGCGTTCTATATTGCTTTCATGTCTAGAAAAACCCGTCAAGTATAAGCTTAGTTCCTCACCAAGGTGGGGCTCCACCTGCGCCTCCTCCTGCAAGGAGCCGGCAGTCGGCGGCGGTGAGGACAGGCGAGCTCAAAAAATGGGATGAATGCAACTTGTGAGTTCACTAAACGGAATATGACGCTACCAATATGAAGAGTTGGCTAACAGAGCCAGTAAACGGACGCCGCTCGTTCTATATTGCTTTCATGTCTAGAAAAACCCGTCAAGTATAAGCTTAGTTCCTCACCAAGGTGGGGCTCCACCTGCGCCTCCTCCTGCAAGGAGCCGGCAGTCGGCGGCGGTGAGGACAGGCGAGCTCAAAAAATGGGATGAATGCAACTTGTGAGTTCACTAAACGGAATATGACGCTACCAATATGAAGAGTTGGCTAACAGAGCCAGTAAACGGACGCCGCGCGTTCTGTATTGCTTTCATGTCTAGAAAAACCCGTCAAGTATAAGCTTAGTTCCTCACCAAGGTGGGGCTCCACTTGCGCCTCCTCCGACAAAGAGGCGGCAGTTGGCGGCGGTGAGGACGGGCGAGCTGAAAAAGAGCCAATGAATTTATACTAAATTATTGCCAATAGATTTCACCACATTAGTATAAAAAAGATGGCCGTTCTCAACTTGTGAAATATAGTTCAGAAACTGATATGAAACATTAGTTACCGAAACTGGGCCTGGCAGGTGAGTCGCAGCTCCGCATGAAGAATTCTGAATAATATAACCATAACAGATCAGCTTCTCCAAACCAAATATGAAACTAACTGAGCAATGTGCTAAGACAAGCTCACCTGGAGGAACAAGCTCTTTCAATCTTGGGTCGGTTACTGGAACCGAAGGACATGCATTCGGCCGCAAACGTATCCTTCTGTGGCTTGCAAATGCTGTGTCCTTGAAGTGGGCGCTGCACAGCCGGCGCTCGTGCAGCTTGCTCATGGGCAAAGCTTTGAACTCCGGCCGATTCGCGTACCTGATCCATTTGATCGCTCTATCGGAAAGATTACAAAGTATATATTTATATGCTTCCATTTCCGACTCCGAAATTACAAAACCTTAGAGGCTTACCTGTCGTCTGTCGGAAACCGGAATTGTCTGCATTCCGAGTTTTTCGTCGAGTTATTGCACCATCTGGCAGAGCAGTACCTCCCGTAAAAGTGAGGCACTGCCATAGCGACAAACTCGGTGCAAAAGAAAAACAAACTTTCCCGCTAAAAAGCGCTGAAAACTTTACCTCGCGAAACGCGCCGCGCGCACCGCGCGAGCGAGCGGCGCGACCGTTAAAGAGCTACGAAAAAAAAGTACAAACGTGAATGAACGAACCCTTTTCACGTGTTTGTTTTTCATGCACGGTTTTCTGTAAGAGCGTCGCCATTTTGAAATGCGGAACTTCCGGTACGCGCGGAAATGTCATTTTGCTCTTGCCACGCCAGTGGAAAGTGTTAACAATTTAATAATAATTCATTTTTGTGCCTCGTTTATATTTTTTTACGTGTCATACGTTGTAATTTCTTACTTTTTTGGCCCACACACCGGATATGGGGACAGCGTGGCTAGGTACGAGGGTACACAAAGAATAGGTCACTAATAGTGTGGTAACCAATAGCACACATCGAACTCGAGCGCTCGAAATTGTAGCGGTGAATACCCGCATAAAAGTCTGGGGCCTGTTGGATAGAGAGAGAACAGTAGTTCTCTTGTATGGATGGACGTACAACAGAGAAGCCTACGTAGTGGCGCCGCGGTTTGGCCACCACAGGAACTCCGGGAGCTGCATTCGCCTGGGGACGCCACCTCCTGCCCATTATAACCTCCTTGGCTAACGGCAAACCATAGAGTTATTATAATGTACGCTAGAGGTTCAAGTGGCACTAGTGTGCTGGCGCAAATTGAAGCAGACAGCAACCAGTCCAAAATTGACTTCCGGTAATGCATTTCTATGGGAAAAAGTGAGTGCATTTTCTCTCAGCGCTCGATCATAAGAGCAAATATCCCAAATAATTCGTACGTACTAGGTAGCTTGGAACATTTCTCAGTCCGACCGACAAAATAATTGGTCAGTTACGGCGTTTTTCTTTCAAATTCATCGCATTAAAAACGGTGCTTTAATGGCTATGTACGTGTATTTATGTGCACTGTCGGACACTGTTAGCGCGAACACGACGTCGGCGCTTTTCAGCATGAGGGATATACGTGCCAAACGAACGAAGTACATTTGGAAATTAAGGGGGATGGCAAGAACTACGCAGTAACACTGGATCAGTAACTACCCGTGCATGTACGATAAAAATAAATTGAAGGCCACGTAGTCTATTCCGATTTTAAATAAGTAATGTAACGCTTTATTCTTTCTGCTCTGAGCGAAGCTGCTTGTTCTACGTTCAAAATATCACCCGCACGCTTGAAATCTTTGAGAACAAGTGCCCGATAAAAGCTGTCCGGCAGAGAAAACAATACAAAGAGACACTTTTCATAGCCCACGGACTTTATTCTCTACGTTTTGAATGTTTTTTTATCTGCTCATGCACGACGGGGCCATTTCCATATAGTGACAGGACTGGCATATTATCAATACGTAAGCGACACCGGAATGCTGGCGAGCCTTGAACACACTCTATATTCCTTTCGATTGTAATTTTGCTTTGAATCGTCGCTTGTTTATACACAACTGCTGCGGAACACACGTTTGGGACTGAAATGTAGCGAAGTTAAACTTCGTTCACTGATGAAGAAAAATGCGCTAACTAAAGCAATTACACTTTTACAGTGTTAATCAAGGTACATACTATTTTATACGACCCAAATAACCAATATGTTCCGTGTTATTTTCCGGCGAAGAGACAAAATGCACGCGCGTTTTCCCATAGGAATGCACATGAGCACCGGAAAAGTAGACTGGTTGCTGTCTGCTTCAATTTGCGTCACGGAAGTTGCATAGACACTAGCGCCAGTTGAACCTCTAGCGTACATTATAATAACTCTATACGGCAAACCAACGTTACTAAAACACTCAGTTGGGAAACTCCCATAAAGACAGCTTTTTTAAAAATTGCCCTCAATCTGTCTCCGAGCACCGAGCTAATGACGAACACAACGCCACCATTTCTCCCGCAGCGGCCACTCGAGGAACTGCACGTGACTTGTATTTCGGCTCTAAGAACAGATACAGCGGTAGAGGTCACAGGGTGCCACCCCCGTCTCCCCGGCGGACGCGCCGCGTTGAACTACCGAAGTTAAAGTGCACCTTGGGCGGGACGCGCTACCTGAAAGGCCCGCTGAGGCATGGTTGTATAAAAACAATATTAATTGTGCCGCAAAACCTTGCAAACTAAAGATTTTAAAAACATAACCCGCCCCTCTTTTTGTACTAAACTCCAATAAAATTCATACAAAAAGAGTCTTTTTCGTTTGTTTTTACGGAAAAACAGGCTTTCAAAAAGCTCAAGGTGACCACAGTACAGACAAATGATAAAAAGTGGCGCTGTTGTCGTATTTAGCTCGGTCTCGGTGGACGCCAGCGGCCCAGGTGTCGACGGCGAGTTTCCCAACTGAGTGTTTTAGTAACGTTGTGGCAAACCGAAGCCGATTGCAATAGCAATGGTACTTGCGCAGTCTTCAAAAGGCTCTCTTTTTTTTTTTTGAAACCGAAACAAAGCAAATTAGTATTATTTTACTATTAATAGTGTCACTATAATGTTCTAAAAAGTTAAGAAAAGCTTTGTCTACCTTAGGTTTTATCTCAACTATATTTTTTCTTTTTAAATACGAAACCGAAACTATAGCTCAATCACGTTTCGTTCGTCGTATTCGTTTCCGTGCGCGTGCGCGTGCATGCGCCCGTGTTCGTGTGTGCGTGTGGATACGTCCGCGTGGTTGTTCGTGCGTGCGTCTACGTCTGCGTGCGTTTGCGCGTGTGCGTGCTTGCGTACGCGCATGCGGGTGTCTATGTGTGTGTGTGCGCGCGCGCAAGCATATCTGTTTATGCGTTCTATTGAACTACGCCATCAAGAAGACCATTTGGATGTCCCTGGACACTGTAAAAAAACGCAAAATAATTATATTATTATTGTTATTATTGAAATATGCCAGCACGAAGTCCAGCGGTTCTTCCTTAGCTTTGCAGTAAACACTAGTTGATTGATTGATTGATTGAGCTTTATTTTTGCTGGTCGTAATTTGACACAGATGCCAATCGGCCACTTCCGCGGATAGGGCGAACATCCGTGGCGCTTCTAAATATCGCGCTTCGAACGTACCTCGAGATGTCCGACGCCTTGATTGTCGCCATTTCAGCAGTTTGATTACCAATATGATCAGTTTACACTATGTACAGTTCAAATTCTGCTACAACCAGATAATTGTTTTCATAAATATGGTATGACGACGATTCGCGCCCGTATAGCAGGCGACATACAACTTATGCGAATTTCAATAAAAATCGTTTGCACATAAGGTGGAAATCTGAAGTACTGTTTTAGACAGAGGAGGGACTCGTACAAGAGTCGAAGTCTTTAACAAAGTGGTAAATTTTGAAAAACGAACGCTTCCTTCTTTTCTAGTGTGTTTCTCCGCAACTCACCACATAAGTAAAGCAAAGTCGCATATTAACTTTAAAAAAAAACAAAAAACGTCTGTGAAAAAGTTTAAGTGGAACAAGCTTTTAGTAACTAGAACAAATTTAGGCGGAACAGGTGATCAGCCTGATCTGAATGCACGTGTTCCATCTAAAAAAAAAAGAATTATAAAAAGAAGAAAACAAGCGTTCCACTTAAAACCGTATGATCCGCTAAAGATTCGCAAATACCTAGTCAAA